GTGAATGAGTGGATGTCGTTTAGTGTACGGAAAGGGGGAAGGCGGGAGGGAAAGAGGCTGGAATCGCGTCCTCTGCCTCTTGTTTTTTTTCCCTTTTTGGTCGAACGGGATGATATTACTCTCCTTGCGAGGGACAAAACAAGACGCGAAATAATGAAAGGAATAATAGATGGAGAAATAAAAAGGGTGAAAAAGAGAGAGAGAAAAATAAAAAACCGAGAAAACAGAGATTTGCGAAAATCAATCCTGTCCGACAGTGGTGTAAAAAGGACACGCCTCCCTCTTCGAATCTCAGAGTGAATTAATCTCCTCCTCTGTGTAATCTATGATCAATCTGCAAAATGAATGCAATGAGCGAGTTTTATGACGGAGAGAATAACTGCAGTTAGAAAGTTATGTTTCACGATCTCTCACTTTCATTCTTTGGAGTCGAGGAGAATGAACAGGTTTCCTTTCGTAGGTAATAAAATCTGTGCTGCAATTACTGGCATATCTATATACATACACGTGCATATATACAACATACATATGTACATGCATACATACATACATACACATGTGTGTATGTGTAACACACACACAAATACATATGTATGTGTGTGTTTGTATATATGTCTGTGTACTTGATATACGTATGTATGTTTGCAAGTGCGTGGGTATGTGTACATATGCTTCATTGTCTGTGTGCGTGTGTTTGTTTACATACTTTTGTTTGTTTGTGTGTGGCTGGCACTCGTATGTGTGATCAACCTCGCAAATGTGTTTCTAACCTCAACATGAACACTGCACCTTAATCTTTAATCTATTTTCATTGATGCATATTTTATTTACTCTCTTTAAGTTCATAGTCTTAAAGCGGCGGATAAAACACCTGTTGTGAAGAGGGAAATTCCTCCGTTTGGAAGCACAAAGACCTTCCCTGTGTTCGTTTCGCATCAACTGGGCGAGCGATTTCATTCATCAACAGTGTCATTCAGCTCTTGCTTCCTCTCCTCCTCCCCCTCCCCTCCCCCACCCTCTCCTCCTTTCCTACTCTCCTCCTCTCCTTCTCCTCCTCCTCTCTTTCTCCTCCTCCCCTCCTCCCCCTCCCCTCCCCCACCCTCTCCTCCTTTCCTCCTCCTCCTCTCCTTCTCCTCCTCCTCTCCCTCTCTTCCTCTCCTCCTTTCCTCCACCTGTCCCCCTCCTCCTTTCTTCCTCCCCCTCTCCTGCTTCCCTCCACCCCCTCTTCTCCTCCCCTCCTCCCCCTCTCCTCCTCCCCTCCCCCCCCCTCTCCTTTTTTCGTCCACCCCTTCTCCTCCTTCCCTCCACCCCTTCCCCCTCTCCTCCTGTCCTCCTCTCCCTCTCCTCCCCCTCCCTTGTCACTGTTCTCCAATTTTCTTCTTTCGCTTCCCGTCCCTTACTTCTCTCCCCTACCCTTCTCCTTTCCCCTTCTCCCTCTCCTCTCTCTCTGTTTCTCTCCCCTTCTCCTCCTCCCCTCTCCCTCTCTCTCTGTTTCTCTCCCCTTCTCCTCCTCCCCTCTCCCTCTCTCTCTGTTTCTCTCCCCTTCTTCTCCTCCCCTCTCCATCTTCTCTCCCCATTCCTCCCTCTCCTCCCTCTGTCCATTCCCTCATTTTCTCCTTACTCCTTCTTCCTACCCCTTCCCCTATCCTCCTTCTTTCCCTCCCTCCCTCCCTCCCTTCCTCCCTTACTCCCTCCCTCTCCTTCTCCCTTCCCTCCTTCCCTACCCTCACTCCCTCTCTCCCTACCCTACCCTCCCTCCCTCCCTCCGTCCCTCTCCTTCTCTCCATTCCCTCCCTTCCCTCCCTCCCTCCCTCCCTCCCTCCCTCCCTCCCTCCCTCTTTCCCTCCTTACCCTCCCTTCCCTCCTTCCCTACCCTCACTCCCTCTCTCCCTACCCTACCCTCCCTCCCTCCCTCCGTCCCTCCCTCCCTCCGTCCCTCTCCTTCTCTCCCTTCCCTCCCTCTCTCCCTCCCTCCCTTCCCTCCTTTCCCTCCCTCCCTCCCTTCCTCCCTCCCAACCTTCCCTCCCTCCCGAAATGACACAACCAAATCGCTCATTAACTTGGGCGTCATTGCAAATCGAGTTGCTCTTATCAACCGAAATGCTTGCAACTTGCAACCGTTAGCCTTTTAGTCGTGTGTTCCGCCTTTGCGTTATCTCATTTGGCTTTTATAAGTGTGGCAGAGTTTATAAGTGTGTGTGTGGGGGGGGGGGGCGGTTTGTAAGTGTGGAAGAATTTATAAGTGTGTGTGTGGGGTAAGGGTGGGGGTTTGTAAGTGTGCAGGGCTTTTATAAGTGCGTGTGGGGGTGGGGTTTTATAAGTGTGGTTGAGTTTTATAAATGTGGAAGATTTTATTTGTGGATAATAAAAAAATCGTGAGGGATTTTACAAGCGTAAGTAATCTTCTATCTGTGAATAATTTTATAAGTTTGAATGATTTTATGTGTGAGTAATGAGTGTGAACAATTTTATAAGTATGAATGAATCATTTCAATTTTTTTTTATATAGAATTCATCCTCATCACTCTTAACACTTAAATTACCTCTCTCTCTCTCTCTCTCTCTCTCTCTCTCTCTCTCTCTCTCTCTCTCTCTCTCTCTCTCTCTATATATATATATATATATATATATATATATATATATATATATATATATATATATATAGATAGATAGATATAGATAGATAGATAGATAGATAGATATATGTATATATATGCATATACATATATGTAAATATATAACTATATATCTATCTATCTGTCTATCTGTCCATCTATCTATCTATCCATCTATTTATCTATCTATCTATCTATCTATCTATCTATCTCTCTCTCTATATATGTATATACATCCTCTCCCTGTGCCTTTCCCTCTCGGCATAATGACGGTAATTAAAGAGAAACGGTAATTAACTAGCCATCATTTGCAATGTCATTCACCATCTGGTTGCAAACGAATCACCATCAAGTTCGATGAACAATAATGAACAACATTCACATCAGAGACACAGTTATACCCATACTTAATATGATCGTTCTTAGATATCTTCGTTCTCTCTCTCTCTCTCTCTCTCTCTCTCTCTCTCTCTCTCTCTCTCTCTCTCTTTCTCTGTTCATTTTTCTCTTTCTTATTCTCCCTATCTATCTGTCTGTATATTTCTCTCTCTCTTACTCTTATTCTCTCTCCCTCTCTCTCCGTCCCTCCCTTCGTCTCTCCCCCCACCCCCCTCCCTCGCTTCCTCCCTCCTCCTGCTCCCCCTCCCTTTCCCTCTGATGTTAGTACCAAGCAGTACCGTTTTCATTTAGGTACAAATTAGGATTGGTTGCATAAGACAGAGGTCGGTAATGTTCTCATGAAATTGATTTTTAATTTTTCTTAAAAATTATTACGTTCTTATGCAGCTAATGAGTTGTTTACATACACACATGCATGCACACGCACACACATACACCAACACACACACACACACACACATGCACATACGCTTCCATAACGACAGTGATTTTAAGGCGATACTGAAGGTTAACAAGAAGATAAACAGCCACATTTAAAAGGCTGCCTCCGCCTCACGATATTTTTTTTCTTTTTTTTTGTCAGTTATCGGATCAGTGTCTGTTCTCCGCCCTGATTTCTTACCGTGTGAATCCCAAGGCCGTTGTTGAGACTATACTTACATGTTGGAAGTAGAGAGAGAGAGGGAGGGAGGGAGGGAGGGAGGGAAGGAGGGAGGGAGAGAGGGAGAGAGAGGGAGAGAGAGAGGGAGAGAGAGAGGGAGAGAGAGAGAGAGAGAGGGCGAGGGAAAGGAGAGAGGGAGAGAGAGAGGGGAGGTTGAGTGAGGGAAGGGAAGAGAGAGAGAAGGAGCATGAAAAGGAGAGAGACACAGACAGAGACAAACAAAAACAAAAACAAAGACAGAGACAAAGAGAATGAGAAAGTAATAAAAGACACATGTAATCCCAAGATACCCATCGTTGAGGACAGAGAAAGTGAGAAGCGACAGAGAGAGGACAAAGAGAGAGTGAGAAAGAGAGAAAGAGAGAGTAAGTGATAAATGGAACAAACCTAACCCTAAAATACCCAACGTTTAGGATAAGATACTCCCAGATTCCTTTCCAGACCTCGCGAAGTAGGACGCAGTGGAATCTGATTCGAAACTTAAACCCGCTCTCTTTCATGCCACAAAGAGAGAGAGAGAGAGAGAGAGAGAGAGAGAGAGAGAGAGAGAGAGAGAGAGAGAGAGAGAGAGAGAGAGAGAGAGAGAGAGAGAAGAGAGAACAAAGAAATGAGAGAGAGAGGAAGAGAGAACAAAGAAATGCGAGAGAGTGAGAGAGAGAGAGAGAGAGAGAGAGGCAGAAGAAGAAGAAGAAGAAGAAGAAGAAGAGAGAACAAAGAAAAGAGAAACAGAAATAGAGAGCGAGAGAAAAAAAAGAAAAAAGAAAACGGAGAGAGAGAGAAAGTACTAAATGACACAAACCCAGTGCCCGATCCTATACCCGCCTTCGATCCTCAAGCCAAAAGAAAAGATTCAAACGCGCTCCTCCACGCTCGCTTTCCTACTGCAGATATCTATAAAAAAAAACTTTCACCCTCCCCCCCTCCCCCCTTCAGCATTCCACGTCAGCAGTGACCCATTCTGCCCCCACCCCGCCCCCCCTTTTATGCCCCGACAAGAGAATACGCATAGTGGTGACCTTACCCCCAACGTGACCTGCAAGAGACTCACATTCTCCTTGCGGATAGTTGAGGGCATAGGTTGTGGGATGGGGATGGGGGGGTGGGGGTGGAGGGGGATAGAGAGATAGGGTGGGCGTGAAAGGGTGGAGAGAGTGGGCGTCAGAGGGGGTACGTGAGGGAGCGGGCGTGAAAAGAGGGTACGTGAGAGAGTGGGCGTCGGAGGAGGTACGTGAGAAAGTGGGCGTGAAGAGAGGGTACGTGAGGGAGTGGGCGTCGGAGTGGGTACGTGAGGGAGTGGGCGTCGGTGGGGGTACGTGAGGGAGTGG